TGATGCTGGTGATGCTGGTGATGATGGTGATGATGGTGATGATGATGATGATGGTGATGATGGTGATGATGATGATGATGGTGATGATGGTGATGATGATGATGATGATGATGGCGATGATGATGGCGATGATGATAACGATGATGACAATGGAGATGTGGACAGTCACAAATACTGTTTCGAAGTCCCGCAGGAAAAAAGATAATTGCATCGCAGGCAGCTGCGCAGCTTGGCGCAGCAAGCTCTGATGCCGCCTGCAGAATGGTGCAAACGACACTTCCAGGCAGCCACGTGTGGATTCTGCCCTCGACAAAACTGCCCAAACCCCCTGTGATGTGGACCCTGTCCCTAAGCGCTTATAAGCCAGACCGACCTCAGATGCGGAAGTGACATCGACTGGAGCCCCGTCAGGTCAAATCCCGTCTGCTCTGCCTCCTGAGACCCAAGTCTCCGAAGCTCTGGGCGAAGAAAGGGGAAGTCAGAAGAGGTTTTATTCATGCTGCTCGTGTTCATCTCACTGTTCTTGTGGATCTGTCTGATCGTGAGTGCGCTTGTGATATGGTTTGCCTCGGCTTCCGACCTACCGATTGAAAGAGGCGAGCTACAAAAAGTTAGCCGAGGAAGAAGAGCTTTGCAGATGCAGTTCGGGTTCAGGGTTCTTCGTCGCACTCATCCGTTCGAGCTCTTTCTTTGAAGGAGAGGAAATTCTGAGCGGCGACTGTGGTTGGCAGTGGTCATTGTGCCTGGAATATCGATTTGCGAACTCATCCTAGTAAGGTTCGAGATAACGGTGTGCCGATACGCTGAGGCTTAAGCATCCAAGCGAGCAATCCACCAGACTCAACAAACCATACTGATGATCACCATCGTAGCCGGCAAGACGATCAGGTTCATGCCCGGAGCCCTGATTTTCAGGTTCACATGGCGACTTCTGCAGAAACCGACCCAAAGCATTGCCTGCAGGTCAAAAGGAAGTTTCAGAAAGCCAGAGATCCTTATATACAACTTCCACGTAGACAAGGAGCACGACGTAAATGTAAGAGCCCCTAGTTCTAAGAAACTCGTCGGAGCTTGGTCCTGCATTTTCAGCTTCTCCTCGAGGCTCTCGAACGTATCCGCCCGCTGGAAGGAAGGCCGAGCAATGGTATCCACCCGGTGGAAGGAAGGTCGAACGGTTTCTGCAGCTTCGACCACCTGTTTTTTTTTGGGGGGGAATTCACCGGCGTTGAGGCTCTTTCTCAACTTGCACCCTTGCTTTTTGGTTCGAGGTGCGGGTTCGCCTCGTTTGGGGACTTCGCGGCACCTGACGATCGTCTCCCTATGAGGCGAATCTATCTGTGATCGCGCTTATCTTGCTATTGTTGTGCCTGCTTAGCAAATTTATGTTGCACAGCTTGCTTTCGCATGCCTGCATCACCTGTTGCTAGCCCCGCAGCTGAAGCCCCCGGAGCCCTGAACCACGAACCCTTCACCTCAAACCGGCTCAAACCTCAACGCGACCCCCAAAAATCGTGGGATGCGCGCCTCGTCCCGCTCGGAGTCTGGTCTCACGTCGTAGGCGACGAGGCCGGAGATCAGTTCTTCCTCTGCGTCGTCTCATGTTGAAGAGTCCCTAAATCTATGTCTGCTTGCTTACTTACATTGAGTGTGAAATGTTTCCGTGCTCATTAACATCTTCCTATTCCATTATATTGTATGTTGTTCTATTCTACTATAGTCTACCTGTACTCTACCACACTATACTATCCTATACTGTACTATATTAACACTATACTATACTATACTCTACTCTACTCTACTCTACTCTACTCTACTCTACTCTACTCTACTATACTATACTATACTATACTATACTATACTATACTACACCATTCGATACTATGCTAGACTATACTATACTAAACTTAATACAATCTAGCTAAGACTGCGACTAGACTAGATGATGCCATGCTATGCTATACTTTCTGTACAGAGTACTGCAATGTAATACAATGCAATAAGCAGTGTAGCGCAATGCTATGCAATGCTATGCAATGCCATCGCAATTTAAGGCAATGCAATACAGCACAGAGCATGCATGGACATACCTCTGATTTCGTGCATGCATGCATGCATGCATGCATGTATTATGTATGTCTGGTTTGGCAGCACTGCGGGCGCTCAAAA